TCAGAGTACCTCCACAGAGCCGCTGTTCTTCCCAGGACGGAGCTCAGAGCCGCTGTTCTTCCCAGGTCGGAGCTCAGAGCCGCTGTTCTTCCCAGGACGGTGTTCAGAGCTGCTGTTCTTCCCAGGACGGAGCTCAGAGCCGCTGTTCTTCCCAGGACGGTGCTCAGAGCTGCTGTTCCTCCCAGGACGGAGCTCAGAGCTGCTGTTCTTCCCAGGATGGAGCTCAGAGCTGCTGTTCTTCCCAGGACGGTGTTCAGAGCTGCTGTTCTTCCCAGGACGGAGCTCAGAGCTGCTGTTCCTCCCAGGACGGTGCTCAGAGCTGCTGTTCTTCCCAGGACGGAGCTCAGAGCTGCTGTTCCTCCCAGGACGGTGCTCAGAGCTGCTGTTCTTCCCAGGACGGTGCTCAGAGCTGCTGTTCCTCCCAGGACGGTGCTCAGAGCTGCTGTTCTTCCCAGGACGGAGCTCAGAGCCGCTGTTCTTCCCAGGAAGGTGCTCAGAGCCGCTGTTCTTCCCAGGACGGTGCTCAGAGCTGCTGTTCTTCCCAGAACGGTGCTCAGAGCTGCTGTTCCCCCCAGGACGGAGCTCAGAGCTGCTGTTCTTCCCAGGACGGAGCTCAGAGCCGCTGTTCTTCCCAGGACGGAGCTGAGAGCTGCTGTTCTTCCCAGGATGGTGCTCAGAGCCGCTGTTCTTCCCAGGACGGAGCTGAGAGCTGCTGTTCTTCCCAGGACGGAGCTCAGAGCTGCTGTTCTTCCCAGGACGGTGCTCAGAGCTGCTGTTCTTCCCAGGACGGTGCTCAGAGCTGCTGTTCTTCCCAGGACGGAGCTGAGAGCCGCTGTTCTTCCCAGGACGGAGCTGAGAGCTGCTGTTCTTCCCAGGACGTTCAGTGTTACAGGCGAATGATAATGCAGGAGAAGATATCTCGTTCATCATAACACCCACAAAGAACATATACACGGCTGTGCTTCATCAATCTATATATTCCCTGTCCCTCTTCCTCTCAGGATGCTAAGGCGTACTTTAGCGAAAAGTCAATATTTATATGCCCAAAATCAGACCGTTTTTCATTCAAATTTTGGACTATTCAAGATAACTCGCGATAGGTTTTGCATTATTGTGCAAACCTATGGAAGAAAGCTATATTAAGCTGTATAACATTTGCAATCAAACAAGTTTTCTCTAACATGTTTTAACTAATTTCCTAATATTTTAACAAATCTTAATTTATGATATTTGTAATGATAGAATCATATCACAGGGATGTATACCCAGAGAGGTGTACCCCGCTTCTTAATAAGTACACAGTTTACTTTAGCACTGGACATCATTGGGCACTACAGTTGGTCAGTAATCACTTGTTAAATGTTAACTAACTCTCAAGCGCTTCCTCCTCTTCTTGATAGTAGATGCAGTTAGCATGAAGGGTTTGTCCCCCGATGACTGCACCGGTACTGATGGTGAGAGACGCGTTAATGTTGAGGATGATGAGAGTTCCAAAGTGTTGTGTTGTGGTGAAGAGAGAGGAGCGGCGACTACAACAGAGGCGTGTGTTAGAGGGAGACTTGCCACACCGTAGGCCGGGATGTTGTGTTTATGGTGTCAGCTGATCCACGGTGTTGAGGCCAGGCAGGTGTTTCCTGTGTGTAGCTGTTGGTGGCGCCAGGTATAGATGTGGCGCGGGTCAGGTGTGACACAATTTGTTGGTCGACTGGAGATATTTACAGTGCTTTGACTATTGGTTATTATTCCTGTAATGGGTGGTCACCTCCTCCTAATATATGCTCGACGGTAAAGGGTATTTTAAGTGAGATAAATACTTGTTTGAAGTTTACTCTGGCACTATAGTGTCGGAAACAGTGAAGGAGATAGTACCCATCACCACAGAACTAAGCTCAGATATATCTCTCATCAGTTTTCTACTAAGCTTCTCAATTTTCAGCTTCTACGATATGTATTAATGTATCTGATAATTTAGCTATCAACATTATAAAATGGACAGTCATTATTAGGAGAGCAACGATGTACAGCGCTCTTAAAGGGCACCAGTTGTACCTGCAATAGAACGTTCTTTTCCATCCGTTCTATGATACGTGAACATTTAGCATGGAGGTCAATGGGGCACTGTTCTATTTGCACGCGATAAAAATTGTGTTGAATAATTTAATTTCACGAGCAGGGATATAACAAATGGTTTGTCCTGTATGCAAATACTGCAACGTCCCGCCCCCCCCCGTGACTCTGTTCAAATAGAGCAGCGCCCCCCCCCCCTCCCTCGGGTCTCTGTTCAAATAGAGCCGCGCCCCCACTGGGTCTCTTCAAATAGAGCAGCGCCCCCCCGGATCTCTGTTCAAATAGAGCAGTCCCCCAAGGTTCTCTATTCAAATAGAGCAGCCCCAAACTGGTCTTTGATCAAATAGAGCAGAGCTCCCACTGGTCTCTGTTCAATTAGAGCAGCGCCTCCCCCGGGTCTCTGTTCAAATAGAGCAGCGCCCCCCCCCCCACTGGTCTCTGTTCAAATAGAGCAGCCCCCCCTCCGGGTCTCTGTTCAAATAGAGCAGCCCCCCCCTCCGGGTCTCTGTTCAAATAGAGCAGCGCCCCCACTGGCCTCTGTTCAAATAGAGCAGCGCCCCCACTGGCCTCTGTTCAAATAGAGCAGCGCCCCCACTGGTCTCTGTTCATATCCCTGTTCAAATAGAGCAGCGCCGCAACTGGTCTCTGTTCAAATAGAGCAGCGCCCCAACTGGTCTCTGTTCACATAGAGCAGCGCCCCCACTGGCCTCTATTCAAATAGAACAGCGCCCCCACTGGCCTCTATTCAAATAGAGCAGCGCCTTCCCCGGGTCTCTGTTCAAATAGAGCAGCGCCCCCCCCTCCGGGTCTCTGTTCAAATAGAGCAGCGCCCCCCCCCCACACAGGTTTCTGTTCGAATAGAGCAGCGCCCCCCCCCCCTCCGGGTCTCTGTTCAAAGAGAGACGCGCCCCCCCCCCACACAGGTCTCTGTTCAAACAGAGCAGCTCCCCCACTGGTCTCTGTTCAAATAGAGCAGCTTCCCCACTAGTCTGTTCAAATAGAGCAGTGCCCCCACTGGCCTCTGTTCAAATAGAGCAGCGCCCCCACTGGCCTCTTTTCAAATAGAGCAGCGGCCCCCATGGGTCTCTGTTCATATAGAGCAGCGGCCCCCATGGGTCTCTGTTCATATAGAGCAGCGGCCCCCATGGGTCTCTGTTCATATAGAGCAGCGCCCCCCCTCCGGGTCTCTGTTCATATAGAGCAGCGCGCCCCACTGGTCTCTGTTCATATAGAGCAGCGCGCCCCACTGGTCTCTGTTCAAACAGAGCAGCGCGCCCCACTGGTCTCTGTTCAAACAGAGCAGCGCCCCACTGGTCTCTGTTCAAACAGAGCAGCGCCCCACTGGTCTCTGTTCAAACAGAGCAGCGCGCCCCACTGGTCTCTGTTCAAACAGAGCAGCGCCCACACTGGTCTCTGTTCAAACAGAGCAGCGCCCACACTGGTCTCTGTTCAAACAGAGCAGCGCCCACACTGGTCTCTGTTCAAACAGAGCAGGGCGCCCCACTGGTCTCTGTTCAAACAGAGCAGCGCCCCACTGGTCTCTGTTCAAACAGAGCAGCGCCCCACTGGTCTCTGTTCAAACAGAGCAGCGCCCCACTGGTCTCTGTTCAAACAGAGCAGCGCCCCACTGGTCTCTGTTCAAACAGAGCAGCGCCCCACTGGTCTCTGTTCAAACAGAGCAGCGCCCCACTGGTCTCTGTTCAAACAGAGCAGCGCCCCACTGGTCTCTGTTCAAACAGAGCAGTACAACACCGCAGATCTCAGGTAATCATCGTACAATCGACGTTAAATCATCGTTTAATTGACGTTGATTTATTAGTCAATCGACGCTGAATCATCGGTCAATCAACGTTCAATCATCATTCAATCGACGTTGAATCAGTAGCATTTGTCCAATAGGTACTTTACACGTTTGAATGTGGCACTCCGTCTCTTCTTGAAATTTTGAGTTTACATTCTTCTGCGTGTGCGTGCGTGCGTGCGTGTGTGTGTGTGTGTGTGTGTGTGTGTGTGTGTGTGTGTCCGTGTCCTCTGCGTATGTATCAACGTGGTATTTTTTATATGTGAAATGTTGTTGTTGTTTAAGATTCAACAACTGGGAACAAAATGTACCAAGTATGTAAAATTGTCCCATAACAAAAGTTATGGTCAGCCCGGAGTAGACTTGTACATGTGTATGTATACAGATTTCATACTGAAAGCTCATAACCTTTTTCAGAAGAAAACGTAAAATTAACAACATATTAGTCATAAAAACAATAGTTTATTCGCGACCGAAATAACACGTTCCTGATCTCTGATGTGATGATTGAACTTGGTTGCACGTAAAAAAACGTGTTCACCGTCAACCCTTCCTCAATCCCTGCGACAATTACGGTAGAACAAGGTGACCGCTTTATTGTATAGTTATCCCTTTTCCTCAATTTTGAGAATACGTTTTCTCTGTCCACGTGACTCTCTGCCCCAAATTGAGGCCATATCTCTGTTAGTGTTCAAATGTGCAACATTGCGATTCATATTGACATTGAAACTCTCGAAAACACATTTATATGAGTATATTTAGGGGAGTACATTATACTGCTATCTCTGAGGACAAGGGAAGAGTGCAAAAAACGATTGTAATAATAACATAGTTTATCCTAAAGATAAACAGTGTATAGATGAAAGATCTTCTATTTCCTGTCTTTCATGAGCTCTGCACACCTGGTCATCTAGTGTAGTGAAGACGATTCATATCACGATCATTATATATATATATATATATATATATATATATATATATATATATATATATATATATATATATATATATATAAAGAGATGGGTGCAGCGAGTCAATAAGCCAGACAATGAAGAAACAGTGCTAGGATAGTGAGTTTCTCACACACAGACACACACACACACACACACACACACACACACACACACACACACACACACACACACACACACACACACACACACACGAACTAAGGGGTATGAGCTACGAGGAGAGACTACGGGAATTAAACCTCACGTAACTGGGAGCAGAAGAGTTAGAGGGGACGTGATCATCACATAGGGTAGATAAAGACAGGCCATTTACCACAAGGGGCACACGCACTAGGGGACATAGGTGGAAATTGAGTGCCCAAATGAGCCATAGAGACGTTAGAAAGATTTTTTCAGTGTCAGAGTAGTAGACAAATGGAATGCATTAGGAAGTGATGTGGTGGAGGCTGACTCCATACACAACTTCAAGTGTAGATATGATAGAGCCGAGTAGGTTCAGGAACCTGTACATTAGTTGATTGACAGTTGAGAGGCGGGACTTAAGAGCCAAAGCTCAACCCCCGCAAGCACAATTAGGTAAGTAAAATTAAGTACACACACACCCACACACATACACAAACACAGTACAGTACTGTGTGTACGGTGTGTAGGATTGGACAGTACACAATGAAGGGGAACTGCCTACCTATAACAAATCGAGAAAGAGACCTGGTAGTGGACGAAACACCTAATCTAACTCCTGAGGCACATATAAATAGTATAACGATAGCAGCGTACTCTACACAGGCAAAAGTTAGAACTTCATTCAGAAACCTAAATGAGGAGGCTTTCAGGGCGCTTTACACTGCCTACGTGAGACCAGTCTTAGAGTATGCCGCGCCATCATGGAGCCCCCCCACCTGAAGAAACACATAGGAAAACTGGAGAAGGTTCAGAGGTTTGCGACGAGGCTTGTCCCAGAGTTACGAGGAATGGGATATGAAGAGCGTCTGAAGGAACTGAACTTTACGACACTAGAGAAAAGGGAGAAAGGAGATATGATAGGGACATATAAAATACTCAGGGGAATTGACAAAGTGGAAATAGAT